AGTATAATAATTTCAATATGCATAATATTTAATATAATCACTAAATATGCCACTAATTAATTAATATAGTCTTGCATGTCATAGAAAATCTACACTAATATTTGTAACCCCTCGGTTATAAATTTAAATCATATATTCTATGGAATAGTTTAGAATAAAAAATATTGGGATTTCCATTTATATAAATAAGTTTATATATGGTAAAAAATATTTACATAAACATTTGTTACTAAGATAATATATAAATCCATTTGTCTGTGTCTTTTTTAATTTTGATTGATAAATAAGTTTAATTTTTATTTATAAAGATAGTTGGAATTAATTTTAAATTTCTATATGTGATACAGATGAAAATAAAAAATCGTCAAAAAATAATCTATTTAATAAATTATATCCGAAAAATGGCTGCATATAAAAAAGTTATTATCATTTAAAGACACGAATATAATAAATTATGGTAGTTAATAAATGAAATAAACGAGAATAAATAATGTGAGTTTTCTATGGCGAGATTTGGTTTTGAGAAAAAGAAAAAAATGACAAATATAAATGTATAATTACCAAAGTTGGAAATAAATTATTTATGTGAAGTACCAAACATAAAATCAAAACAACATTATTTATACAAACCGAATTATGAAACACATCATTTTAATATGTAAACATCCAAAGTGTGCGAACTTGTCACTTAGACTCAGCATGTTCTAAAATTATATATAGAGGGGATAAGAGAAATTAAATCTGCTTAACTTCTATATATTATCAACAAAATCTATCCAAATATAATTGCAATATTAAAGTGAACAACAAAATTATGGTAAATAATAAAAATATGCCATTTTAAGTCATGATTAATAAAAATTATAATTCTATTTCTATATAAATGATTAAGATAAATAAAATACAATTTTATGTCCTATATTTGTCTATTTGGTAATCGAATTTATACATGACTATATATATTATCTCAGTTTTACATGAATTTCGAAAAACATAACGTTTCACTTTACAATTCATTCAATCATAGAATTCAGACATCTTAAATTTAATTTAGTATCCAAGAAAAAATAAATAAATAAATTGACACTTATTTTGATATGAATATGATATAATTTCTTACATGTTATGTGTACTGCACAAGTTGTGTACTAATTTCAATAGACGTGTTTTATATAATTTTGCACAAATTATTTTTCATATAACATTTGAAATAAATTAATATAGGAAGGAGAGAAACATTACATATTAATTTTATATTTCAATTTATTAAGTATTTTTAATTTATAAGTATCAATAAATATCTCTTTTACCCGTGCACCGTACGAGATTCGTAACGAGTAACGATCAAATGAAAGAGGATAACAAGAGAAGATGCCATAACGGAACCCACCCGCACTAGGATGCGTCCAGAGTCAAGGAACCGAAAACTGACACGTCACCTCACAGGTGGGTCCAGCTTTTTCTAATCTCTCTCATGCCCAAGCAGAGCTGCCCTATTTATCCCACTTCCCCTTTCCTGTTTTATTTCCATATATGCCCTCGGTACTTGAAAATGGAAATTGATCCATCTACAATTATGAAGTCTTGCATTTGAAATTTTCATAAATATTTGTTTTTCTTTTTGGTAGCATGCATAGAGCAGTTAAATTAAACAAGTCATTTATGAGCTTGACTCGTTAAACTCGAGCTTAATAATTAAATGAGTCGCTCGTGAGCTCAGCTTGGCTTGTTTGATAAACAAGTCGAGTTCGAGTTCAAAGCTCGAAGTTAACGAGCCGAGTCAATAAATCTCGAAAAGACAATATCTATGTAGTTTGAATCGATTTTGACTCGAACTCGACTTGTTAAATATTATTGATAGACGAGTCAACCTCGAGCTCGATTATAAGCTCTTTAAGTTAACGAGTTGAGCCGAGTTCAGCTCGTTAAGGGCTCGAGCTCGGCTCGACTCGTTTACAGCTCTAGTCTCTAGACATGCATAAACATTAAGATATCCTTTGTTTTCTTACATGAGATAGGATAACTCCCTTTATCCCGTTATTATTTACTGTTTGAGAACTATGACTATAGCCCGATGAATATTTTATCCTCTATGGTTGCATCCCAATGTATCGAATATGTGTAATAACTTAATCCGTCCGGATGTGGAGTACTCAGATTCAACGGACGCTAGGAGTAGACAAATGTAAAAATTTATCCTCAGTATGAACCAAACATAACGTGCATTGAACACATTTTTTTTATCCTAACAATAAATCATAACTTACAAGCACCTAAATAATTTTATCCAAACAGTACAATCTAACTAATCACATATTAAAAATAGTTATATA